TGTATTAATCAATATGTTTCACTTTAAGCGTATAGTACTGTATAGTCGTCGTAATTTTTAGTCACTCTTTATTCTACGCGATGTCCGATTAGCAATGGTACCTTTGAAACATTAGTTAAATTAACAACAAACAAACTGAATGCAAATATGCCCTACCGGCTCAGTTTCATTTGCCAGAATAGTTTTGCCATAATCACACTTGACATAATACTTTTGACATAAGTAACACTTGCCATAAGTTACACTTGCCATAAGTCACACTTGCCATAATGGTTACACTTGCCATAATTACACTTGCTATAATTACTTTTGTCATAATTTTCTTATTTAAAAAAATGTAAATCTGTCTTTTTTTATTTCAAATAAGGGAAATTTTCCCATGAAAATTTCCAACTCTAGTTTTCTCATTGTTTTAAAACAGAAAAGTTGACACAAGTTCAGCTCCATATTTTCTCACAATGGAGGACCCTTTGGTGACCTTTGAACTTTATGGAAAAAATATTATGTCAAATGAAATTTAGCCGCCCTACCTGGATAGGCTAAGCAGGCCTAAAGTGTCCCGGCACGCCATGCTACAGATTCATGAAAAGTTTTTTGACTGCCATCTAACGGCCACTTGTTACATATAATACCCATTTAGTGGTTAAGTTTCAAATTTTTAAAGAAATACTCCTAAGTAACATAAAACTTAGAATTTATGAATTTAGTATATTTTTGAAGATTTTGTATTTTGTATCCAAAGGAACCTAGTACATATCCCTGAATACAAATGTCTGCTGATTGGTCGTGTACAGTCTTTGTACACAATAGAACCTGCTGTGGAAAATATCGCATATTTCAATTGATCTCTGTTACTCTGTTATATCTGTAATTACCATTGGGGAAGATAACGTTGTTAGTCTGACTTGAATAGAGTTTTTAATTTTGACAATTTCACCATTGCTTCTTACGCGTAAAAATACGCAATTTAAATCCGACAAAGCTTTTAAGGGTAACGTTGTGAATCGTAAATGTCACTCTTTTAACAGGGGGTGTCAATTAAACATACGTTTGCAGTCCCTTTCAGCTAGAAAATCCATTGCAAAGCTAAGGATTTGTTGCAAAATTAATTATTGCGAAAAGCTGTTCATGCAATGTCTGTGAGCTTGCAGTTCTGTCAGTTAGGGATTATCACAAAGTTAAAAATCTCTCCCACAAACTTTATTCAAATAAAAATTTGTTCACTCATCTGTATATCCAATGTGGAAAAGTTAAAAGGAATTGAGTCTTTGCCAAAAACTATTCATTTATAAACTCTATATTTTTTAAACCTGATGTTGTAACTTGTAAACCTTGATATATAAAACTTTTTGATATGCATTAATTAACTAACGATTTTATATTCGTCTTTGATTGACGCGGCGTTCATTATTGCTGTGTACATTAGTGTGTTCCAATAAACATTGAAAATAAATGACGAAAGGAATTCTTCCAAAAAAACTATAATTTTTTAATCCCAATCTCTTTGCAACCCAATATCATAAACCTTAGATTTTTTAAATTATGAATTATAGTAATCCGTTATATCAAATAATCTTAGTTTGAAATATATTAAGTGTACACCATTAGCTTGCAAAGATATAGGAATTAGAAAAGTTGAGTTAGTGAAAAAGACTTAATTCAAATATATCGTCTTTGTTTTCTGATAATTGGTAAAGGAAAAAGTTTTGTACCAAGGTACATGAAAAGGTTTTACCAAATGTAGTTCAACTTTTGTATATCTAAAAATCGTTGAAACAACTTTGAATATATGAATTAAATCAAATGGATCAATTTGTTTGGTATATATATGGAAGACTCCATAAATGAAGTGGATCAAAATCTATGAAAAAAAATCTTTCTTAAATCCGATGTTAATTAGAACATCATAAATACAAAAAAAACATCAAATCAAAATCAAAGGATTTTATTATTGCAACTCATATTATTCTAAAAATGTTCAGGGCACTGCAATAGAAATTGTTTAGTTGCAAATTACAAAATTGAAAAAGTTTTAAAAGGCGACAAAATATCCACAGTTTTCTGGTTCTGACTGTAAGAGTATCTACGGTCAAAAATAGTTGCTTTTCACTTAAAGGACGAATTAGAAAATAGCCACAATGTGTCCTTTCAAAACATCCTCAATTCTTAAATTATATTTTTTAATTGATTCATAAAAATTACATCATTAGCATTATTTTTTCATACTAATAAATCTTCAAAATTTGGCAAAGATGCAATTTCTAAAAATTGCATGATGTATGTATAGTATATTGTATACCTTCCTTTATAAGGGATTTTGTTATTGTTCTAAGCTATTTATTATGTAATGGTATATGTTTGTGTATATTCTTACCTATCAAAGTTGGTAACTTTTGAAAAGCCTTAGCTTTAACTTTTTCCGATTCAATAGTTACAAGCTGTGTATAATTTCCACATTAACGGGACTAAAAGCATAACTTCAAGTGACCCTCCATTTATAGAATGGCATGTCCGATTTACAACGATTCCTCTTAAAACTTTGCTGGATCAAGGATTTGGTAGATATTCTTATTTTTATAACAGAGAGTACAGAGCTGAAAACTTTAGAATCGTGGATATCGAGATTAATGCTTGATCCTCCCTTTTTCTTAATATCGGGACTAACTTAATCTTGTGCTTTCAACCAATCAGAGTCGAGTATAAGAAGCCGATAAATTTGAAATTTTGCGCGCCATTTAAGATAAATATACAGAAACGGGAAGGACTCTTTAATTTAAAAAACCGGTTTTTGATTTTTTCTACTATATCCAAGAAAGAGTGGTTTAAGAAGAAAATCAAAAGTGTGCCCATTGGATACTCAGAGTAAGTAATCGGGATTTAGATTATCTCATTCTAAAGTTTTCAGCTCAGTGTAACATCAATATTCAGCTATACAAATGAGGGTAGCCACTTCATCGTTGTCAGGACAACGGGTTAAAAGGTACCTTTGTGAATCGGACATGCATCTTTAAAAATGAAAGGTCACTTGAAATTACGCTTACAGTCCCTTTAACATCTCTCTAATATGTACAGCAGAGTTGCAAAACAATTGGTTTTCATAAAAACAAACAATTTATTTTTGGACAATTACTTTAACAATATTATACTTGACAAGATAAATAATAATGATGACAAATTATTGGGTGCTCAATAGGAACAATGAAAACAAATATTTACAATCTAAAGAACAAAAAATGTTGATTACTAAACACCCTGTTTTACAATAATACATTTATATGTACTTACATCTAACAATCTTGAAATTACGAAAACAAATCGAATAAATTTCATAAAGTTGTAGTTCTAAACAGTTTGTAAAATTGATGTACATACTAAAATTTTTCTGACCCTCATTTTCCGAAAAATTGTTTCTGATCAATCGAATTGATCACCGGGAAATATCAATGGTTAAATGATCAAAACAGTCCAACCAATAATTAGTATCTCATTAGATCGATATCCAATATATTTTTATAGTCAGGGGGGGGGGGAAAGATTTATAAAGTTTCCCCAAAAGTCCGATAGTTAGTATCCAATAGTTAGACTCCCACAAGAAAACAATTTTTAAACATCAATAGAGTTTTTTCATATCTTAATAGCCTTTTTTATTCCTAACACATTTGACACTTCTTACATCAATATTACCACTTTCTTTTCTATTCCCATGTTTTTATTTTTTAAACAAGTCCTGGTCCCACCATTTATTAAATGAAAACCCCCTTTCTTGTTCATCATTGTTATTTTTTTCCTTTCTGATCTATTTTCAGCCCCCTCTTCCCCCCCCCCCCTTCCCTTTTATTTCCCAACCCTGGTCCTTGACTAGTTTTTATGTTTACAGTATTCTTTTACAACTTGGAAAACTTGGTATTGTTGCATGTCTTAAGGAATCTATTTGTAAAGTAAAGTTTTCCAAAGAAAATATACCCCGAGCTGAGTATACAATGTGCTCTCACACAATTCCTATTGGAAAATCAGGCCAATTGCAGAGTTTGAAGGAATATTGTGACTACTTATAGGGCCTAGGATCATTCAATAGGAACCCTGTATCATGCTACATGCTTTAATGCTATTGTTTGGTTAAACAAATTAATTTATGACCAAGGGAAAACTAAAGAGGGGGGAAATTAATAATATCTTGTGGCGATTACGTTATAAGGGAAACTTCTTCTCATAGACATGCACTTCTGCTGATCAATCAGCAGTGTGTTTTTCTTTACTTTAATGTCTCTTTCCAAGCGTTGTCTGTTCTTAATTAGATCATTAAGAGCATCTGAACCCTCAGTTAGTTTATCCTCAAGGAGTTTTATGCTTTGAGCTATCTCTGCTACCTCTTCTATCAGCTTAATGTGTGGTTGATCATTACAGGCTTCCACATCTGGGCGACGGGTTCGTTTCTTCAGACGGGACTGTGCTACACGTAGTGGAGGATCCTTAGCTGCAATGTTGGCCTTTAGTCTTTCTAAGTATTTCTCTTGCTCAGCTATTTCCTAAAATTTGGGAATAAGTTAAAATGATATTAGTTTACAAAATATACCCTTTCTGGAAAAATACATTGTTTATCTGATTCCTAAATAATGACAAAAAGTAGTTTAATGATAGTATCTTGTGTTGACAATAATGTAGGGAAAATGTTTGCGTTGTGACATGCACTTTTGCTGATCAATCATAATAGTATTCTTCTTCACTCTTATATCATTATCAAGTCTGTCTTTAATCTGAAAAAGTTCTGATAGTGCTTTGTTAGAATCTTCAAGCTTATTTTCCAACTGTTTGATCATTTCCATGAGTTCTTTAACTTCTTCAATCAGATGATTATGAGGAGCATCATTGCACAGTTCTACTTCTGGTCTTCGTAGTCTCTTTTTCAATCGGCTTTGTGCAACTCTTAAGGGAGGGTCCTTGGAAGCAATTGAATTCTTTAAACGTTCGATACACTTTGTCATATCGGCAATCTCCTGAAAATGGCACCATTCAGACTTTTGTAGGATCAGGAATCAGTAATGTGTTTGTTGATATTTAAAAGTTTGAATAATTTATTTAACTAAAAAGTGTGTTCAGTTTGAATATAAAGCTATTTCAAATTGCATGAAACCACAAAACTCAATTTCAAGTTAATTTTATGATTAAAATCTTATATGTAAATAATTGCCTTATAAACTTGGAATTTAAAAATTGTGAATTTTCATGCAATTGAGTGAAAGTGTAGGTAGGGGAAGACTGGGGAATAATGTACTATTTTCTAACTTTGCTATAAATTTACATTTTCCTTGGCTTAACTTTTACTGATATAACCACTAAAGCCATATCAGCTAATCCGACCAGAATTGATTAATTGACCAGAATCCTTGAAAGTTAGAGCACTTCAAGTGTATCAATCATGCAATGGTGGATTTTCATGCAAGCTTTATCTTTTTTTGTATTTCTACTTTCCATCATGGTAGGACTATGTAGGACCAAAAAATAGATACGTCTTTAAAATTAATCTGATGAAAAACAATTAGAAAACTCTTAATTGTTTAGTTTTTTTCTGATTTTTTGGAAATGTTTTTTATCATTATAGTAGATAAAACTGCAAATTTTAAACTTTCAGATGCAATGCATAATAAACTTTTATCTTGTTTTGTTTCCTTGCAGTTAGAAAATCTCAAGACAAATTTAACCCCCCCCCCCCCCAAAAAAAAAAAGGTGCACAATTTTAAACTACAAGTTTATTAATCAAGTTTTCATGCAAATGTTTAATGAAAAAAAACTATTGAATCATTATATGTATGTAGTATGATAGATCTAATCTAATCTTATGCATTATGTACAAAAAAATTAGTTATTTGATTAGTCGTCATTGATTAAAGTATTTTGTTTAAACAAGTTGTTTACAATTCTTACTTTTCCAATGCGGCAATTTAATTTTAAAATGGAGGCTAGCTAATTTAACGGCCATGATTTAACCTTGGTGGATAAACAGAATTGCCATGAAATTTACAGAGTGCTAAGTATGGACTGAATTAAAGTATGTACATCTAATCTTTAGAACACTAGTTTGAAAGCAGTTAGAAATATTTTGTAACAATAACATTGTAAGGGAAGCTGCGGCGCATTGACATACATTTCTGTTTGTCTATCAGAAGAGTATTAGCTTTAACTCTAATATTAGATTCCAGGCGTTCTTTGTTTTTCAGGAGCTCTTGAGCAACATTGTTGGCTTCTTGCAGTTTATCCTCCAGATGTTTTATGCATTGATGAAGCTCATTGACCTCCTCCAGAAGCTTGTTGTGGGCAAAGTCATTGCAGTTTTCTACATCAGGTCGACGAGTTCTTTTCTTTAAGCGTGTTTGTGCAACCCGTAGAGGAGGATCTTTAGAGGCTATATTTGATTTTATTCTCTCTATATGCCGTTCCATTTCGGCGATTTCCTAAAATTTGTTTATTTGTTTATCTGTACACAAAGGCTATTTAGCTAGATAATGTAAAGCCTCATCTGCAAAATAGAAGCCAAAGCAAAATTCATTTTAGTATGTTATTGTATTGTGCAGTTTGCAGAACATTATAATGACTTAAGTTGAAAGATATTGAATATAATCTTATGCTAACAATGTGATAAATATTGGTTTGAAAATAAATAATCTTTAAGCATATCATTTTTTTACAAGGAAATAATTTTTGGAGATAATCTTGGCTTATTACAAAAATGTTAAACATGAGGAAGCACATTCTTCTTATATGTTGTGTTTGTTTGCAGGAAAATTTATAAAGTCATGCAAAATACTTTTAATTAATGATAAAGAATTTAACACAGACTTTGAAATGAATACTTACATTTTTGGTAAGAATTAGGTTGGATTTGAGGTTTCTGTGTGCGTCCTGTGTCTCAGAAATTCTGTCCGTAAATGAGCGGTTGGTTTTGTTCCAGTGAACACTCATGTCACTGGCTGCGTTGTTGATCAGATTGTTGACGTCATAGCGCAGCTGCCGGGTAGCACTTCGCCCAGCTGCTTGGTAAAGGGGAGAACATATCGGTTAATATTGAGTGATTAAAAATAGGTTTGGATAATTTTTTTAAAGATTGGTTTTGAATTTCAACCTTTTGACCTCTAAGAGACTTCATAAAATTCGAATAAATTGAATCTTTGAAAAGTTTGTTTAAATACTCTTTTAAAAAAAGAAACCTTCTCTAAAGGGAACTAGAAATATTTGTTTAATTGACACTGATTAAACTTTGAGCTTGACGAAAGAAAATTAAATAATTACCTTGTGATTCTTCAACATTATTTTTGCTGAATTTAGCCCATGACTGAGGGACACTTCCGCTAACATCCTCCTCTTCAACTCCATCATGATGCTGGAATACAAGTTGTTACAAAAAATGTTATTGTTGTTGGCAACTACTAATCTAATTGACTTGGGACAGTTCCGTTTAATAGATTTGACATCTTCCTCTCTGTACAAAGACAAGGGTTGGTGAATCAACTCATTTGTTGTTTGGTGGATTAAGGAAATCCACGATCTCTCTCAATTAGCGAATCTGGGGTGGTGTTGAGAAACAGATGCAAATTGTGCTATATATTCTTAACAGTTTTCGTTAGAGTTAAAAAAGAACAAAGAAAGATATGCATTTGGTATTATGTTAGGGGCTTTAAAACTCTTCTAATTCTCCTTTACATCCTCTTCTATAAGAAGCAAAGGAACTGAGTTTTTGCTGCAAACTTTAGACAATATTAGCAAGATTTTTAATCAAAATTCTAGGAGTAGGAACTATTCTAAATTTACCTTAATATCGATAGCATCGTTGTGCATCTCATGGCAGTCACGATCTATCTCCAATGCCATATCCTTGTGCTCTAGATCAGCATGCAGTTTGTCCTGCATGCTGTGATTGGTTTCTATTTGTTGGTTGACCTAGAAAAAGAAATTCAGTTGAAAAGAGATCCCTCCTCTCCCCTTCCTCTGACATTTTGAAGATGCTATCTTGGTTTCTTTGCTTAATTTTGATTCAGACTATATGGCAAAGAATTTCTGGGGGCCTAGATCAAAAGAATAAAATAATTAACACAAAATACTGCAATAATTACCTTTCCCAACATTTTCTGCATTCGCTGTTGATACGTTTTAATATTCTCAACTTCTCGCTCAAGACTATTTTCAACCTATACGAGACAATATGTTAAATTTTGTGTTTTGTAAAAAATAATAAATATTTTTAACCTCATCTTTGACAAGATCGATGCTGATTCTTGCCTCTCTGTTCTTGATGCACTCATTGTTGATTCTTAAACATTTAATCAATTATAGACAATACACTGTAAGCATAGATTTTAGTGACCCTACATGTAAAGATGATAATTCCTGATTTACAAGGGTACCCTTAAAAGCTTTGTCTGATCAAGTATGAATTAAATATCAATGTTTTTGTTTCTTTAAACTGTTTATTTTCATTTTGCGTGACTTGCGCATTGCTTGTTTATTAGTAACAATGGAGAAATTCTCTGAAATAACCACTTTTTGAGTCAGAAAAAATATGTTATCTTTCACATTTTTGATCAGATTAGGGTTTCAAGGGTACCGTTGTAAATCGGGCATTGCTATCTTTGCATTACGCTTATACAGTCCCTTGAACACCCTTTTTAAGTTCTGTTGGATTTGGAGCTATAGAGTTAAGTAAATTGGATCACCAATTGTATTTGCAGTAATTAATGTAAAAAAGATTTTCTAAGTTTTCTAGTATTTTAAAATTGTGAAAAATTTAGAAGAAAAATATGTTTACCTAAGAGGGCGTTCTGTTTCTGCAATAGCATGTTCTAATTCAGCCTTGGTTTCCTTCAGTAGCCCGTTCTCCCTGAAGGAAAAATATATAATTTGGTGACTTGAAAATAAATTTTTATTTTATTCTAGCTGAAAAAAAAATGTAAAAAATTTTTTTTTAGCCTGTAACACCCCGCGGCCACCCAGGAGTGTCCACAAAAAATTCAGTCCAATCGGTCCTGCCGTTTGGCCGGCTATAGGCAACATATATATACGAATGTCTTGTTTTTATATAAATATATCAAAACAACTCTTCTACTTTTTTGAGAACTTTATGTAATTATTAACAAGACATTTAAAAAAAACGTTCAAAAAGTTTATTTTTCGGAAATCCCCTGAATTATGACTTTTGTTAAAAAACAAATGATCAATGTCCCCACATTCCTGTTTCCTCAAGTTTAAACTTTGTCGGATATTTTGCAAAAAATTGGCAAAATAAGGTTGCAAAATTCCTTCTCCCACTGATAAACAACTAAAATTGGCAAATATTATTTTCCAAGAATTTTAATGATTATAGAATTAGAAAAAGGTTTTCAGAGAAAATTGTTAAAACCCTATCTCAGGGGTCCATATTATTCCATCTGATTAATCTCAAATGTTGATTGATTGATATTGAGGGCAGAAATAAATAATGTTGTTATTGTAAACAATTGGAAGTATAATGTCAAGTTGTAGAAAAATTCCATACTGCAGAATGTTTACTGCTAGGGAGTGTTTATTTTTCTGTATATAATAATTTATCTCTTATAATAAATACTAATATTAACATCTTTTAACACCCCAAATGCAGTACACATTTCTGAAGTGTAGTACATAAAAACCTGTCAAAATTCACAATGACATATAAAGTGTACTTTCATGCCCCTAAATGTACTTTCAACCCCAACCCCATTTGGGATCAGAAATGGAACTATATGGACATCTGCCCTTTCTTGACGGCTTGATAATTGTTGTCATTATCTATAATAATAAAATATATTTTAATGAAGTTAAAAGTAAATAAATAAGCTAAAAGAAATGTCGTCAGTTTGACAAATCAAAACTATATGATCGCTACATGCTACTTGGACTGAAAATTGCGATTTTTTTCCAACAAATATCAGAAAAAAAGACAGTAAAAAAAGGGTAGCTGAGCTCTTTTTTCAATTTTCGGTTTTTCAAGTAACCTTTTTAAAGAACTTTTCATAAAAGGTCGGAATAATTTTTACATTTTACTCCGAAACCATGGGAGTAACTCCAAAATCCTGGGTGTAACTCCAAAATCCTGGGAGTAACTCCAAAATTTTGGGAGTAACTCCAAAATCCTGGGAATAACTCCAAAATCCTGGGAGTAACTCCAAAATTCTGGGAGTAACTCCAAAATTCTGGAAGTAACTCCAAAATCCTAGGAGTAATTCTAAAATTCTGGGAGTAACTCCAAAATCCTGGGAGCAATTCCAAAATCCTGGGAGTAACTCCAAAATCATGGGAGCAATTCCAAACTCCTGGAAGTAACTCCAAAATCCTGATGAATAATTGAATAAAACTAACTTTTTGTAAACAAATAAATGAAATTAATAATAAAATTAGCATCAAATAAAAGAATAAAAAATGAATATTGAATGAATTAGGAGCAGAATATAATGAATCAATTATTAAATGAAAGAATAAACGGATAAATAAGTTCATGAATTAAAAACAAAAGATGAATAAAGCTATAAATATTAACAAATGCAAAAATGCAGAAATCAATTACACAACAGTCGAATTAGTGTGAATGATGAAGAATATATATATAGATAGTAAATAACGTAAATAACAAATAAAAATATACATAAATAGTTTCAATTTCAAATATTGTTTGAAAATAAAGAATTGAAATATATGTATGTAAATATATTTTTATTTTCCATATTTGCGCACTTAGTTTCTTGCTCAAAATATCTCTTTTATTGGATTAATATTTGACGGCATAAAGAACTTGTAGAGATGTGCACGTTCAACTTTATTCATTTAATTCGTTCTGTAAACGACTAATTTCGTTCGTTCAGTAAACTAGTTTGTTCCGTAAAATTGTGTGTTCAATAAAATTGTTCGTTCAGTAAAAAAATGTTCAAGTTCGTTTGAACAATTCTAAACCGTTAGTTTTAGGTTTTAACGATCTTTTTTCATTTCTGTGAACAAGCCATTGTTCGTTTTATTCTGAACGACACCCTTTTCTCAAAATTTCATTCGTTCAAAAAAACAACGCCGATCTCTATAAAGAAGTATTCTTATTCATTTTATTCCCCTCATAAATTCCCTTGAATAGATATCTAGATATTTTGTATAAAAAGATTTCATTGTAAAGCCTCCCCTCACTCCCTCTTAGCTTTGTATAGGGCTTTTCATAAAAAAGTAGTTTGGTAAAAAAAATAAACACTTAAAAAAAGCTTAACTCTGTACAAACAAATCAGCAGTCAAGTTTGCTTAAAGGGAGTGTTCGCGAAAAATGAAAGGGGGTATAGGCTTACTTCGAAAAATATTGGATGGAAATCACCCCCCTCCCCTCCTGTTCAATAATATCAAACAAAAATAGCCCGAGGAGGACAAAGAGTTCATGGAAACTGGTGTAAATCAACCTGCCACTCTATAAATGGAAACTAACTTGAATTTCCAATAACAGTCTTTTAAAACATCGTCTCTAGTCCCGAATACGAAGATAGAGAAGGAGGGATGGAAGCCCCCTCCCCGCCCTCCCATTGTCCCAAATTATTAGTTTGATTGAATGATCCTAGTTTTGATTTGTCGTGTCTCCAGGAATTAGAACTTCAGGTCAAACTTTCCAAACTTCACCAAGGGAATATAAAGTATACTTTTCCAGAGATATAATATTTTTCACAAGATTGTATTCAACTTTTCTAAACAAATCCTGCTTCGGTATGAGAAAATATGAGAATTCATTCGATACCTATAAAACGTGTTACGTTCTAAGAATTGATAAATATAACCGAAAATTCACACATTAAATATCACGGGGAAAATTCAATCTAAAATTATCAAATAACCTGGACGGAAAAACTAAACAAAATTGTGTTATAAACTGAATTGTTCTTAAAAGAAATCATAAGTTCTCTATTTTAAACAAAAACAAAATAATGTGTATAAGCTGTAGTTAAATAAATCAATAGTGAAACAAATATTTTTAACTATTGTGTGTTAAACCAATATTTTAAAAATCTTACAAATTTAGAGGAAATGTTCATTAAATATTGGATATTGTCTTACAATTAGTTTCAATAGGTCTAGAAAATTTTTAATATTTGTCAATATTTTAAGATATTTAATGAGTATAAATATAATTATAAAACCCCGGTTAGATAGATGGATAGATAGATATAATAGCATGTTATAACATACCCTGAGCCCGACTTGATATTTTTTCTGATATAAATTGGCTGTTATAATATGCCCTGAGCCCGACCTGATATTATTATCTAATATAAATAGCATGTTATAACATGCCCTGAGCCCGACCTGATATTATTATCTAATATAAATAGTATGTTATGACATGCCCTGAGCCTGTCCTGATATTAGTATCTAATATAAATAGTGCGTAATAACATGGCCTGAGCTTGTCCTGATATTAGTATCTAATATAAATAATATGTTATAACATGCCCTGAGCCCGAAATAATATTATTATCTAATATAAATAGCATTTTATAACATGCCCTGAGCCCGACCTGATATTATTATCTAATATAAATAGCATGTTATAACATGCCCTGAGCCCGACCTGATATTATTTTCTAATATAAATAGTATGTTATAACATGCCCTGAGCCCGACCTGATATTAATATCTAATATAAATAGTATATTATAACATGCCCTGAGCCTGACCTGATATTATTATCTAATATAAATAGTATGTTATAACATGCCCTGAGCCCGACCTGATATTTTTATCTAATATAAATAGCATGTTATAACATGCCCTGAGCCCGACATAATATTATTATCTAATATAAATAGTATGTTATAACATGCCCTGATCCTAACCTGATATTATTATCTAGTTCTGTTTGAAGATCAGCTCTCCAGGAATTACAATCCTCTATTCTTGATCCCAACCTAAACAAATCCTTGAGTTTCATCTTTTCTTGATTCCATTCTTGACAAATACTTTCACAATTCTTTATTTTTGATCCCTAAACCTAAACAAATCCTTGAGTTACAATTCTCTTTTCTTGATCCCAACCTTAACAAATAATTTTACAATCCTCATCCTTGATGCAAACTTAAACAAATACATTTATAATCCTCTATTCTTGATCCAAACCTAAACAAATACTTTTATAATCCTCAATGATTGATCCAAACCTAAACTGTACTGTACTGTACTGTACTGTACTGTACTGTACTGTACTGTACTGTACTGTACTGTACTGAACTTTACTTTACTTTACTATACTGTCCTGTACTTTACTATACTGTACTTTACTGTACTGTACTTTACTGTACTGTACTGTACTGTATTTACTGTACTGTACTGTATCAACTCTATTGTACTGTACTGCACATTAACTAGCTATACTGTACTGCACATCAACTCTACTGTACTGTATCGTACTGTACTGTACTGTACCGCACTGTACTGTACTGTACCGCACTGTACTGTACCGCACTGTACTGTACTGTACCGCACTGCACTGCATATCCACTCTACAGTACTGTTCTGCATGTACTGTACCTATTATTCGCCTCTTGTTGACTTCTTTGTGTCTTGCTGGCACAGTTTGCCATGAGTGTATCCGCCTCATTTCGGATCCGCTCAGATTTGGTCCGGGAAGAATGTGCACTGAACAAAATATTACTTTTGACAGAAATAATTCTGATACAAACACTCGATCCAGTACGTTCTTTCAGGAATGTAAACGCATTGTTCATTCGTCAAGTTTGTTTTTATTTTCCAGAAACTGCAGTACACTTTAATTATAAACAAGGATATGGTAACTTTTGTATTTTCCTTGGTCTGTAGTATTGATGTATCTAAACTGGTTATTAACTTAAACAGGTTATTTTTTACCTTATAAATAAAAGTTTAATGAAAACGTGCAAAAGGAATATCGTCTTTGTAATACTGGCTGCATGGTTGGTGTACTTAACTTTGCAATAGTGACTGCAGGGTTGGTGTACTTAACTTTGTAATACTGGCTGCATGGTTGGTGTACTTAACTTTGTAATACTGGTTGCAGGGTTGGTGTACTTAACTTTGTAATACTGCGCTGGTTGCAGGGTTGGTGTACTTAACTTTGTAATACTGGCTGCAGGGTTGGTGTACTTAGCTTTGTAATACTGGCTGCAGGGTTGGTGTACATAACTATGTAATTATTGTGATAATAAAATCTTATTTCTAGGAATCACACAAAAGTTCACGAAAATATTGGTTTTATGATTTACTTATAATTTAACCACAACAAATATCCGCAAGAATAAGCTATTTGATAGTTTGGAGCTCAGCTGCAGTCTTCTCCCCCCCCCCTTAAGTTCTTAACTCCCCCCTTTAAGTCCCCCTCCAGAAATATAATTTTTTGCAATTTGTTATTATCAAAATTTCCCTTAACTGTTAAAAAAGAAAAAGCAATCTGAAACTTGTATAAAAAATACATGGATAGATAGATCCAGATTTCGAGAACAGTCTGTTTAAAAGGAATTTTTTAAATATGTTTATTTCTAAATATATTTACCTCTGATAGTGATTTAGATTAGACTCAGACCATTCCTCGTGGGTGTGAGACATTTTCCAGCAGTCGTTTAGGTCACCTAGATAGATGAATAGATAGATAGATAGATAAATAGATAGATGGATGGATAGATAGATAGATAGATAGATAGATAGATAGATAGATAGATAGATAGATAGATAGATAGATATATTGATAGATAGATAGATAGATAGATAGATAGATAGATAGATAAATAGATAGATAGATAGATAGATAGATAGATAAATAGATAGATAGATAGATAGATTGATAGATAGATAGATATTTAGATTGATTCAAAGAATTGATAAATATATAAAGATCTATAGATTGATTCAAAGAATAAATAGATATATAGATATAAAGATGTATAGAAAAGGAGATATAGATATATAAATATATAGATCGATTCAAAGAACTTTGACTACTGAGGATCGTCATGAGAAGTGAAAAATTGTGTTTAGTATAATGCGTTTTTAATAAACTGTGAAATTTAAAAACTAAAAAAGATTGATAGATAGATAGATAAATAGATAGATAGATAGATAGATTTATTTATAGATAGATAGATATATATAAAGTAAGATAGAGAAATAGAGAGATAACTAAGATAGAACTGGCTTAAATTTTTGAATTTATAGGTTACAAGCTTTAAAGGGACAGTAAAGGAAAAATGAAAGGGGGTATAGGCTGAAAGCTAATCACTTTAGCTCTTGATCGTCACCCTTGAAAGTTTTATCTGATGTTCCTGTCTGGAGAAACTGATATAAAACTGTGTTAAAATTATACAAAAGTTCATATATGTAAAATTTAGAAAATCTTAAACTTAAATCACGTGACCAGAACTATCACCAATGGCAGAGCAATATACTGGTCATGTGTCTCCGCCTGTATCACGTGATCGCTTTACTGCAATGCCATTGGTGGAATTTCTGGTAAAGCAATACGGACGTATAAATAATATTATAAATTAAATCTATAAAAAATAGAAATAACAAATATAAAATTAGAATTGGAGTAAACCTAAGTTACAATTAGCTTTCTCTGGGATATCATCGTTTTCAGATTGGTTACATATTTGCTGAATTTGATCTTATTAAACCCACTACTTTTATACAAAATTGTACATATATTAATTTTCGTATAAATTTGACAAAGTTGTAAATCAATTTCTCGAGATAGGATCGTCAGATATAACTTTCATGGGTCGCGCTCGAGAGCTAAAGTGATTAGCTTTCTGCCTATACCCCTTTTCATTTTTCCTTTACAGTCCCTTTAAATGTGCGCAAGATTATGCCAATGGCTAAAGGTGAAATGGAACAAATTCAAAGTTTACCTAGTGGAAGCTAAACACGTCACAATGACGCAATAAATTTCATTCTAGCGTAGTGATCAGGTTCTACTCTTTCTAAACAGCAAGGTTCTAAACCACGGCGCACATTTAGAAAATAATCTAAAATATCTCATTTAGAACAATTTTAAAAGATTTAATGGTTTTGAAATGGGAAAATTCACAAATTAAAAAAACTGAACCATTTGGGAAATTTTTCAGAAAATGTTAAATTGAAGAAAAACTGGCATCAAAATTCAGCTTTATTTTTGTTCCCATACTTCAATATTAAAAGGTTTAAAAGTTTTGACCTATTGTCTCTGAAGACCTATACATGGTCAATACAATTTTCTTTGTCAAAGTGTCAACCTCATAAAATAATGATTCTTTAGAATAAAAAATGTGCGTTTGCCTGTAGGAAGTTTCTCCAACTGAAAGTACTCCCCTTACACTTTGTACAAGTCAGAAGGAGGGGGGGGGGGGGTACAAAAAGAAGGAGGGGTGGCAAGGGGAGAACCTTGATTTTTCATTTGTAAACTTTGAAACCCCAACAAAGACAAAAAAAATTTTATCAAAATAAAAATCAAAATTTTATTTTTTTATTAGTATTTTTGTCCCACCTGAAGATCCCTCTAGTTTGTAAGGCCGTTGCTATGACGATAAACAAGGGGAAAATATTGGTAGAGAAGGGAGGAAGAAGAGGGAAAACAAATTATAAATTAGTTTTTAGATTTTTCCTGGTTTCTCTGATTTCCCTGGTTTCCCTGGTTCCCCTGGTTTCCCTGGTTTCCCTGGTTTCCCTGGTTTCCCTGGTTTCCCTGGTTTCCCTGGTTTCCCTGGTTTCCCTGGTTTCCTTGGTTTCCCTGGTTTCTCTGGTTTCCCTGGTTCCCCTGGTTCTCTGATTTCCCTGGTTTCCCAGGTTTCCCTGGTTCTCTGGTTCCCTGGTTTCCCTGGTTCTCTGGTTCCCTGGTTTCTCTGGTTCCCCGGTTTCCCTGGTTTCCCTGTTTCTCTGGTTTCCCTGGTTCTCTGGTTTCCCTAGTTTCCCTGGTTTCCCTGGTTTCCCTAGTTTCCCTGGTTTCCCTGGTTTCCCTGGTTTCCCTGGTTTCCCTGGTTTCCCTGGTTTCTCTGGTTTCCCTGGTTTCCCTGTTTCTATGGTTTCCCTGGTTCTCTAGTTTCCCTGGCTTCCCTGTTTTCCTTGGTTTCCCTAGTTTCTTTTGTTTCCCCTGGTTTCCCTGGTTTCCTTGGTTTCTCTGGTTTTCCTGGTTTCCCTGGTTCTCTGGTTCTCCGGTTTCCCTGGTTTCCCTAGTTTCCCTGGTTTCCCTAGTTTCCCTGGTTTCCCTAGTTTCCCTGATTTCCCTGGTTTCCCTGGTTTCCCTAGTTTCCCTGGTTTCCCTGGTTTCCCTGATTTCCCTGGTTTCCCTGATTTCCCTCGATTCCCTGGTTTCCCTAGTTTCCCTGGTTTCCCTAGTTTCCCTGGTTTCCCTGGTTTCCCTGGTTTCCCTGGTTTCCCTGGTTTCCCTGGTTTCCCTGGTTTCCCTGATTTCCCTGGTTTCCCTGGTTTCCCTAGTTTCCCTGGTTTCCCTGGTTTCCCTGGATTCCCTGGTTTCCCTAGTTTCCCTGGTTTTCCTGGTTTCCCTAGTTTCTCTGGTTTCCCGGGTTTCATTGCTTTCCCTGGTTTCCTTACAGTGTTGTTGTTGTTGTTCTTCTTCTTTTTCTTTTTCCCGGCACATTTTATCTTCTTCTTCTTCTTCTTCTTCTTCTTCTTCTTCTTCTTCTTCTTCTTCTTCTTCTTCTTCTTTTTCTTCTTCTTTTTCTTCTTCTTCTTCTTCTTCTTCTTCTTCTTCTTCTTCTTCTTCTTCTTCTTCTTCTTCTTCTTCTTCTTCTGCTGCAGTGGCTGTACCCCTACCTTGCACTACACAACAATAAAAGAATGAAAGAACAAGAATTTCTATTTTATTGATAAATGAATAGATGAGGAGAAACAAGAAAATATGAAAACTAGAAATAAATGATGAACATGGGAATCATCTTACTAGTAAACTCAACTACACACCTTTGCAGATACAAATAAGAAAAGGAAGAAAGAAATTTTAGATTTTTGAAATATAATCTCTCCACTCAAACATTTCATTATTAGTATTTGTTTCATAATGATAAAAATTAGCTTATGCGGCATTCTGACATGCAATTTTTTAGAATTTATTTTCATTTCAAGAAATGCACAAAAACAGATATATAAAAAGATATGAATGAATCTGTAGATAGAAAGATAGTTAGATGGATAGATTATATATCTTTATAATAAAGCTCGTCGCTCATATATATATTGTAGATAAAGTTAATTGATAGAATACATGTACCTGTGTTTACAGAACGAGTAAATTACAAATTGATGATTATATTAACAGTACAATAATGTGATGAGGTGGAAAACAGCTCTTGGCTGTTCTGATTATTTTTTCCGCCTGGACCGAATGGATTGACATGTTTTGAGGGAAAAATTGGCTAAAAAAATCCGTTTTCAACGCCCTGCACATCAGCTAGTAAGTTAAAAGTATTAAAGATAGATAAAGATAAATAGGTAAATACATTAAAAGATATTCTAAAGAAGATTATAGATAGATGTTTATTAAGTTTCAACATTTGCATACTCATATCCTATAGTATCCGAGTACTCTGTATATCAGTGTACTCGTTCAGCATCATTTAGTTTCACTTTGTACAATTTCATCTAGAGAACTTTTAATATTGATACCTTTCTTTCAGACCTTCTATCTTTCTATCCTTCAATCCTTCTATCTTTCTATCCTTCTATACTTCTATCTTTCTATCCTTCTATACTTCTATCCTTCTCTCCTTCTATCTTTCTATCCTTCTATACTTCTATCCTTCTATCCTTCTACCCTTCTATCCTTCTATCCTTCTATCCTTCTATTCTTCTATCCTTCTATTCTTCTATCTTTCTATCCTTCTATCATTCTATCATTATATCCTTCTATCCTCCTATCCTTCTATCCTTCTATTCTTCTATCCTTCTATCCTTCTATCTTTCTATCCTTCTATTCTTCTATCCTTCTATCCTTCCACCCTTCTATCCTTCTATCCTTCTATCCTTCTATACTTCTATTCTTCTATCCTTCTATTCTTCTGTCCTTCCACCCTTCTATCAATTTATCCTTCTATCCTTCTATCTTTCTATCCGTCTATCCTACTATCCTTCTATCCTTCTATCTTTTCTATCTTTCTATCCTTCTGACCTTCTATCCTTCTATCTTTCTATCCTTCGATCCGTATATCTTTCTATCCTTATATCCTTCTATCCTTCTATTCTTCTATCCTTTTATCCTTCTATCCTTCTATCCTTCTATCTTTCTATCCTTCTATTCTTCTATCCTTCTATCCTTCTATCCTTCTATCCTTCTATCTTTTCTATCTTTCTATCCTTCTGTCCTTCTATCCTACTATCCTTCTATCCTTCTATCTTTTCTATCTTTCTATCCTTCTGTCCTTCTATCCTTCTGTCCTTCTATCCTTCTATCTTTCTATCCTTCGATCCTTCGATCCTTATATCCTTCTTTCCTTCTATCCTTCTATCCTTCTATCCTTCTATCCTTCTATCTTTCTATCCTTCCATCACTCTATCCGTTCATTCTTCTATCCTATGTATCTATTTATATATATATTTATCTATGTATCTATTTGTCTATCCATCTAACTATCGATCTATCTAACTATGTGTCCTAAATACTTTATTATAAGTTTTCTGATTAGTTTTACTACTTTCTCTCCTGTGCTTGTTGCAGAAACTATACAAATATAAATTGATATCTAATTGAGGAAACCAGGGAAACCAGGGAAACCAGGGAGACCAGAGAAACCAGGAAAACCAGGAAAACCAGGGAAACCAGGGAGACCAGAGAAACCAGGGAAACCAGGGAAACCAGGGAAACCAGGGAGACCAGAGAAACCTTGGAAAACCAGGAGTACTAGGGAAACCAGGGAAACAGGGAAACTAGGGAAACCAGAGTAACCAGGGAAACCAGGGAAACCAGGGAAACCAGGGAAACCAGGGAAACCAGGGAAACCAGGGAAACCAGTTAAACCAGGGAAACCAGGGAAACCAGGGAAACCAGAGAAACCAGGGAAACCAGGGAAACCAGGGATACCAGGGAAACCCAGGAAACCAAGGAGACGAGGGGCCAGGGAAACCAAAGAAATCAAGGAAACCAGGGAAACTAGGAAAACCAGGGAAACCAGTGAAACCAGTGAAACCAGGAAAACCAGTGAAACCAGGGGAACCAGGGAAACCAAAGAAACCAGAGATACCAGAGAAACTAGGGAAACCAGGGAAATTAGGGAAGCTAGGAAACCAGGGGAACGAGGGGAACCAGGGAAACTAGGGAAACCAAGGAAACCAGGGAGACAGGGAAACCAGGGAAACAGAGAAACCAGGGAAACTAGGGAAACCAGGGAAACCAGGGAAACAGGGAAACCAGGGAAACCAGGGAAACCCGGGAAGCCAGGGAAACCAAGGAAACCAAGGAGAATGGGCGCGTTAAGTATTAGACCACAGTTGAGATCGGCACAATTAAGATAAACAACGCAGTTTCAATGAATAATGTCATCACGTATAAGTATAGATTGTTAATAATATACAATGTACTGCAGGTTTACAGAATATCATGTTTACACAATATATGCTACAAAACAAGAATAAGATAAAGATGGAGGTGGTCAGAAACGGACAGGATCATTTAGGATTTGGAATGGGGTGGGGAGCAAGAGCTTCAAAAAGAAAGGTTTTTGTGTGAAAAAAAGTGGGGAGGGCATTTTGAAGTGAGTGGGGTGGGGTTGGTGGGTGGGGTGGGGCTAAGAACATGGGGTAAAGAAACCTGGGAATATCTCTGTATTGAAAGAATGAGTAATATATGTATACTCAATGTTTTAAAACAAATGACGGTAATTGTTAAACTCCAGGATCCAATTTATAAAGATGAAGACATCATAATACTAAATCAATGGACCACCACCAAGGAAATATCTATTTGAAGGGGGGGGGGGGGG